GCACTCCCCTGACTTCCCAGGCCAGGGGAGGGTTGTAGGAAGGGTGATCAGGCAGGTCTGGTCACCCTGGCAACTCAGGGTGAGGTGGGACAACCTTGCCTGCTCCACTGAGCCAGTCTCAGCAGATGGGGACCGTCCAATGAGATGTAAATAAAATATTCTTGTGGTGCAGAGCAGCTGCAGGGGGCTAGACCCCTATCAAGTGGAAGTTTGGTGAAACGTCTGCTCAGCGAGAGAGAGAGAGAGAGAGAGAGAGAGAAAGAGATAGAGAGAGAGAGAGAGAGAGAGTGTGTGTGTGTGTGTGTGTGTGTGTGTGTGTGTGTGTGTGTGTACTGTTCATTCCAGCTACCACCTACACTAGATAGAATGAAAACTGCTTCTCCCTTCCTCCTGCCTCTTCTAAAAGGAGAGCCAACTCTGAACTGTGTCAGAGGGTTTGGCCTGTGGCTGTGGCTTGGAGATGCTGAATTCCACACTTTTGTGCCTCCCTGTTCTGGGAGGACTGGACGTCCTCGAAGGAGGCTGTGTGGCTTGTGCAGGCCACGGGACTGTTGGGGTAGAACTGGACATGTGACCATTGACAGGTCACTGGCTGTCTCTGTCTCCATTTCCCTGACTAATAGAGAATTTAGATGTTCTCCAAGATCCATTCCAGCTCTCATGTCTCTAGTTCTTACCCTAACTGCCTCTTCCCACCCCTGATTTCACCCTGGTGACATCACTGCTGCTGCACATTTGGGCTCTGAAAGTTTTGCCTCATTTCTTGTCATCCTGGGATCTTGCCTCCATGTGGGGCTTTTGTCAGGGTGCCAGTGGCCCCAGCCATCCTTCTGTGCCCCTTTCACCACACTGGATGTCAGCAAGCCTCCTGCACTTTGTAGGGACTCTGCAGAGATTCAGGGTGAGCGCAGTTGGTGGAGTCGGGGCGTCGGGAGGGATACAACCCAGCATAGGCCCAGGGGCTGTTCCCCATTTCCCTGAGCCATTGCTCCTGAAGGAGCCTCCTCCTGATGACAGAATCCCTCTCTTCCCCAGCTCTGGAAGCGCTTTCCAGTAATGTTGCCGCCTACCCGCAGGCAGGGAGCCAAGAGTAGATCTCAGACCTTCCTCCTCAGCCTGGGCCGGCCCTCCCCTCCCCTCCCCTCGGTCCCAGAGAGCCCATTAGGGCCTAGAGCTCCTTCAGCTCACTGAGCACCAGAGCCAGAACAGGAAGGCCAGGGAAACCAGCTCCAGGAACACGGCTCCAGCCCCAGGTATTCTGGAGCTGGCTAAAGGAGAAGGAAGTCCCTACGCTGTAGTCAGGAGGGACACATCTTGTTTTTCTTGTGTCCAATAAAATGCCAGCTGTCTGCCTGGCCATAGAGGCTCCAAGGTCTGGAATAGCATGACCCTCCCCATCAGCTGCTTCAGAGGTTCAGAGTCTGAGTCACCTCAATATCCCCAGTGTCCATTATGGCCTGGTTCAGAGAAAATACCGAGCTTTGAGTAAAGAATTAATTAGCGCTCTCTGCTACAAGTTTGAGACCCCTAAGCTACAATAGAGGGTTCTCCCTTCGACACTGGGGAAGCGCCGTAACCAGCTTTGTCTTCTGCAAAATGGGGACAATACCCATCCCAAGGGCTGTGGTGAGGACTGAGAGAGTACGTTCCAGGCTCCCAGCACAGTTCTGACTCATGGGATGCCTTCAGAGCTGAGGAACCTTCTTCATGTTGCTGCTCTTGGCTTGTTTCACATGCCTGTCCCCTCCCCAGGCAACAGCTGTGGCCAACTCTTGTCTGGGTCTCCCAGGCATTATATGGTGATTTATGGGGCCAAGAAAGCTCTGTGGATTGGGTTGATGGCACAGAGTGGGGGTAGGAGGCATATTTAGAGCCTGACCTCTTAGGTGGAGATGGAAGCCATCATCTGCCTGCCCTGGACTAGCTCTTTAGACTGTGCCTTCTCCTAAGGCAGCTGATGGTGCTAATACCAGGGCAGGGGCAGGGAGGCTGTGGAGATGGGTCAGCGCAGCTGGCTGGAGCTGGACTTCTGGCCTTGGGAAGCTGCTTTCTGACCCCTGCCTGTAGGAGCTCTGCTGTCCTCATGCCTGCTTATCCCCCCTGCACGGTGTCTGACTCCCCTCCAGCATGCTGCAGGTCTTTGGGGTGTTGTGCCATTGTCTTGTCTCAGCTGCTTCTGCCTGGGTTGTCTGACTGATCTCAGTAAGTGCCAGAGAGAGAGAGAGAGAGGAACCTGGGAGATGACTGTGGATTGAAGATTATGAGAGAGGGAGGCACCAGAAGATTCCTGCCCTAACCTGTGCAGACGTGGTGGTCAGGGAACGCTTCCTGGGGGAGGAGGCAGGCAGAGGATATGGTGTCAGCCACATACAGTGGGGGTAGAGGTAGAGGCATGATTTTCTAGAGGGAGGAACTAGACTAGGCAAAGGTTGGCAGACAAAAGAGGATGTGGCTCATATGGGGCAATTGCAAGGAATTTGGCAAGGCTGAAACCTGAGTTGACAGTGGGGAGAATGGGACATGAGGCAAGACCAGATGACAGAGGCAGTGCTGAAAATGTGGGCTTTATATTCTACAGCAAGAGAGACTTGGGCCCAACATGACTAGCCCTTCCCAGGGGACCAGCCAGCTACACACTGGATGTTGACTGGTGGATGGTACAAAGACTGGGGGACTTTTCAGCAAAAGGGGTGATCTTGGAATTATTTTCGCTTTTATTGATACAGGAGGTAGATGAACAAAAAGTGACTTTTGGTCAGGTCTATTTTGAAATCAGGAGAATGCACAGGGTGGTTATGAGGTCCTCCTGGCCTAGGATGGAGATATCTTTTTTTCCTAATGTGTTTTGAGTGTCACCAGGGTGCTTGGTTGGCACTGTGCCAGGATTCTGGGCCTGGATAGTGTTCGGAGTGTTAATTTTTTTTGTTTTTGAGATGGAGTCTTGCTCTGTTGCCCAGGCTGGAGTGCAGTAGCAAGATCTCAGCTCACTGCAACTACTGCCTCCTGGGTTCAAGCAATTCTTCTGTCTCAGCCCCCTGAGCAGCTGTGATTATAGGCGCGCACCATGACGCTCAGCTAATTTTTCTATTTTTAGTAGAGATGGGGTTTCACCATATTGGTCAGGCTGGTCTCGAACTCCTGACCTCAGGTGATCCACCCACTTCGGCCTCCCAAAGTGCTGGGATTATAGGCGTGAGCCACTGTGCCCAGTCAGGAGTGTGAACTTTGACTTGTAGCTCTACTAGCACTGCCCAGATCCCTACGTGAGTGTAGGAAGGGCTTTGAGCATGGAGAGGGAAGTTCCTCCTCTGTCCCAAGGATCTCAAGAGTAAGTAATGAGAGCAGAGGCCTGGCCAGGCAGACAGGTTATCAGAAATCTTGGGTGATGTCCCAGCCCTGTGTATTTTCAAGTCAGCAGATATTTGCTGAGCACCTCTTATGTCCTAGCCCTGGGTATATGATGATAAGCAGTTATGGCATCTGCCTGCACGGAGCTTGCAAGATAGAGAAGGGGAGGAGAGACAGCTTTGCTTTCATCCTTATCCTTTTTTTTTTTTTGAGGCTGGGCTCAAGCGATCCTCCTGCCTTGGCCCTCCTGAGTAGCTGGGACTACAGGCGCACACCATGCCCAGCTATTTTTTTTTTAAGCGAAGATGAGGTCTCCCTGTGTTGTACAAGCTGGTGTCAAATTACAGGCCTCAAGTGATCCTTTTGCTTCAGCCTCCCAAAGTGCTGGGATTGCAGACATAAGCCTCTGTGCCAGGCCAGAGAGAGCTTTTCTATTGAGCAAAGGGTCATACCTTCTTGGCCATGCTGACCCTGGGAGTATGGTGCCCAACATGCAACTAGATGCTCAGGTTTTTTCCACCCACTTACCCACACCAAAATAAAACAAACAATAAAAACCATTCCCAGGAGCTTGGGGCCAAACCTGGTACTGAGAGAGGCCCTCTCACGGGGATTTTTGCTACTTCTCAGCTCTGGGTTTGGAGCCTCCAGGTGGACTACAGCAGAGGGGCCTGCCGCTGGCCAGGACATGGCCTGGGGAGATGGCTGGTGGGTCTCAGGCAGAGGGGTGTGCAGAAGCCTTGCTGGAAGGGAAAGATAGGAGAGCTTGAATTACAGAACTGTGCAGTTTGATGGGAACTGGGTCATCAGACCTGGGTTCTGTTCTGGTTCTGCTCCCCATTTGCTGTGTGACTTTGGGCAAGTCCCTTCCCTCTTATGAGCCTCAGTTGCCCCATCTTTAAAGTGGATGGCATTGAGCTAGAAGCAGGATAGCAAATAGAGTTTATCTCACCTGCCAAAGCTGGTTGCCGTTGACATCCTTGAGCTGTGTCTCGAACAGCTGCCTGGACTCAGCAGGAAAGCCTACTGTTTTGCAGGCTTGCAGACCCCAGGCCTCATTATCCCCGAGTTCCTTCCCGTGCTGGTATTCTTAGATTCTTCTGTGCTTTCTTCTGTCTCCTATGCCACTCCCCACCAGCTGGTTGTCTGCCTTCTGCTTAAACAGCTCCATGATAGGGAATTGCCATCTTCCCTCAGACAGAATTGTTAGATTGTTATTCCTCAGGTTGAGCTCAGCTGTGCCTCCCTGAACTTGTGCCTGGAAAAATGCTTTGGGTTCAGGCGTAGGTGATGCCCTTAGATACTTGGCACATCAGTAATCAGTTTACAATTTCTGCCTTCTGGAGGCATATAGAATGCTGCTTTCTAACATTTGATGACAGTGACAGAGATAGCATGTATATATCCTTTGAAAAAAAGTGCTTTAAAAACACTGTCACTTGGTTTATGATGGCAAAGCTGTGAAGCTAGCATTGTCCCTTCCATTTTATAGGCGAGGAAGGGGAGGCTCAGAGAGTTAACAGAGCAGCCCTCTGGGACCCAGCCTGTGCACCTCTCGCCAGCTGCGCTCCTCCTCCCTGGCCCGTCCCCAACCTTCTGTTCTCCTGGCTCCTCCGAAAGCCCATGGCCTCCCATTCTCTCGCCCTCCGCAGGTTTCCATGTGATCCCCACTATCTCAAGCATCGTCCCGGAGAGCTGCCTGCTGATCGTGGTGGGGCTGCTGGTGGGGGGCCTGATCAAGGGCGTAGGCGAGACACCCCCCTTCCTGCAGTCCGACGTCTTCTTCCTCTTCCTGCTGCCACCCATCATCCTGGACGCGGGCTACTTCCTGCCGCTGCGGCAGTTCACAGAAAACCTGGGCACCATCCTGATCTTTGCTGTGGTGGGCACGCTGTGGAACGCCTTCTTCCTGGGCGGCCTCATGTACGCCGTTTGCCTGGTGGGCGGTGAGCAGATCAACAACATCGGCCTCCTGGACAACCTGCTCTTCGGCAGCATCATCTCTGCCGTGGACCCCGTGGCGGTTCTGGCTGTCTTTGAGGAAATTCACATCAATGAACTGCTGCACATCCTTGTCTTTGGGGAGTCCCTGCTCAATGACGCCGTCACTGTGGTGAGGAGGCTAGGGCCATGCCCATGTCCAAACAGGGTACAAACCCAAATCCAGTCCCAGCAGTGAATCCCTCATCCGCCTGCAGAAAATAGTAATAAAAACAGCTAAGACCATTCCTGCTTCCTGTGTGCCAGGCACCATGCTGAGCCCTTTGACGTGGATTATCTCATTTAAGTCCTCATGGCTGCCTTAGGAGGTGCTTGATTCTCATTTTCCAGAGGAGGAAACAGGCCCAAAGAAGTAAAATAACCTACTGGAGTGTGAACCAATTTGTGATTGAACCAGGTCTGTCTGACCCCAGGGCCTGAGCTCTCGGTTTTGCTGGATTACGTGCTCACCCCTTGACTTGACTTGCTTTTTGTTTTTTAAGAAACAGGGTCTCCTAGGCTGGCGAAATGGTGTGGTCATAACTCACTGCAGCCTCAAATTCCTGGGCTTGAGATCCTCCTGCCTCAGCCTTCCAAGTGGCTAGGACTACAGGCATGCACCACCACACCTGGCTAATTTTTTAACTTTCTTGTAGAGGTGGGGTTTGACCATGTTGCCCAGGCTGGTCTTGAACTCTTGGCCTCAAATGATCCTCCTGCCTCAGCCTCCCATAGTGCTGAGATTATAGACCTGAGCCACTAAGCCTGGCCCTTCACTTAATATTTTAATATGATCTTGGGCAAATTACTTGTACTCTCTGTGCCTCAGTTTCCTCTTCACAGACCATATCATCTGTGAGGGGCCTTTCAGCTCTCACGTTGGCTATATCTTACATTAGAATTTGGTTTGTGCATAGTTTTTTGGGCAGAGATTATGGGAAGGGCCTTGTCTCCAAAATCTCCAGAAGGTAATGAGTAAAAGAAGTTGGCCACTTGCTTGCTGTGTGACCTTGAGCAAATGCTATACCTCTGTGGGCCTCACATGTTGTTGTTGTTGTTGTTGTTGTTGCTGAGATGGAGTCTTGCTCTTTCTCCCAGACTGGAGTGCAGTGACGCAATCTCGGCTCACTGCAACCTCCATCTCCCAGGTTCAAGCAATTCTCCTGCCTAAGCCTCCCAAGTAGCTGGGATTACAGGCATGTGTCACCATGCCCAGCTAATTTTTGTGTTTTTAGTAGAGACAGGGTTTTGCCATGTTGGCCAGGCTGGTCTCAAACTCCTGACCTTAGGTGAGCTGCTGGCCTTGGCCTCCCAAAGTGCTGGGATTACAGGCGTGAGCCACCACACCCGGCCGGGCCTCATCTTTGATAGCTACAAAGTGGCAGAGGATTAGTGCTTTCCTCCAGGGTCTTCACTTGGTGACACCATATACACCGCACACACCCTTCCTCCCAGCCGGTTTCCTTGGGAAACAGATGTGTGCATGTGCATACTCACGTTGTGTTGTGAGAACACTCCTATCCCCTCCTAAGCTGTCCCCCTCAGAGCAGCTGCACACACAGGAAAGCTCAAGGGCACATGTGCATGCTCAGGCCATGACTCCCTCCTCTGCAACACCTCAGAGTAGAGACAGACTGGTGTTCAGCTGCCAGCAGCTTCGGCTTCCTGTTCCTCCCCTGCCTACTCATGGAGCTGGGCAGAGCAGTAGCCTGGCCTGAGCAGGCAGGCCTTTGTCCTGGCCTCCTCCAGCGCCAGCTCTTGCCCAGGGCTACCACATGAGCCTCAGTTTCCCCATCTGTGACACAAGGATTACAGTAGTCTGTTGTCTTCCCAGGCTTCTTACAGGGTTACTTACATTAGTGAGTTATACTCACTAATGTCTGTGAAGCCAGTGGGTGCCAAAGATAAAGGCCACTCCAGTGGGATCTGGGTGTTGGGGTTCAGTTTAGCACTACTGTGGAGCTTGGGGCATGGTTGCATCGAATAGGTAACAGACCTGGCCACTTGTGAACCAATGGTCATGTCTCCCAAAGGCCATGGCAGTGGTGGTAGTGATTGCTGGTGTTCACTGGGTGCTTCTTGTCTGAATGTGTATTGCCTCATTTTTATTTATTTATTTAGAGACAGAGTCTTCTTCTGTCACACAGTGTCACCCAGGAGTACAGTGGCACAATCATAGCTCACTACAGCCTCAGACTCCTCAAATGATCCTCCCCTCTTAGCCTCCCAAGTAGCTGGGACTGCAGGTGCTGGCCATCACACTCAGCTAATTTATTTATTTGTTCATTTATTTTGTAGATATGGGGTCTTATTTTGTTGCCTGGGCTGGTCTCAAACTGCTGGACACAGACGATGTTCCGTCCTTGGCCTCCCAAAGTGCTGAGATGACAGGCGTGAGCCGCTGTGCCCGGCCTGTGTTGCGTCTTTTAATCTATGCAGTTACTCCATGAGGTTGACACAGTTATTATCCTAGTTCTTTGAGATGAGGAAACTGAGGAACAGAGAGATTACATTAGCCTGATACATGATATAGCTGAGGTTCAAATCTGTAGTCTTAAGTCCAAAGCCCAAGGGCTTACCACTGTGTTACTTTGCTTCTCTGTAGTTCCAGGGATAATAGCACCAGGCCAGAAAGGAGGACCTTCCCGTCTGTGCCCACTCCATGGACCCATGTGGTGGACCATGAGGACCCATGAATCCCCTCAGTCCAGGAATGAGTCTGCTGCTAGAGCCCTGCCCTATCCCCCAGATTGCTGGGGCCGGGCAGCATCAGGCCTGGCCAGTGCCCAGCATCTCCCCTTCCTGCTTAGCCCAAGTCAGGCCTTTCTGAAGCTCTGGGCATGGGTGCAAGTGCTCCATTTCCCAGAGAGTAAAGCTGGAGGCTAACCCTCAGCTGCCTGGTCACAGGTCTGTGCCCTGGAGCAGGTCACTCCTCACAGTCCCTTCCTCCTGCTCTAGGTCCTGGGGGCTTTGGAGGATCCCCTCTCATGGATCATCAGGTCCTCCCCTTCTTTCCCCCAGGCCTGGAAACTCCCTGCTTGTTCTTGGTAGAGCTGTCTAGGACAGACTTGAGTAGGCCAGGCAGCTCAGGAAGCCAGCAATAGGAGCCAGATCCTCAAAGCTGTCTGCTGGGGAGGTCTCAGCCCATGGCTGTCAGGGAACAAGCTCTGGGCCCAGTTCTGTTTCTGGGCTGGGGGGCCCGGCATGTTGTTTTACCACAGTGAACCTCAGTTTAGCCAAGGAGCATCCTTGACCCACCTGCCTCGCATGGTTGTTGTCAACTTGGATAAAGACCATCAAAGGGCTTTTTTTTTTTTGAGACAGAGTCTAGTTCTGTCGCCTAGGCTGGAGGGCTGGAGTGCAGTGGTGCAATCTTGGCTTACCACAACTTTGCCTCCTGGGCTCAAGCCATTCTCCTGCCTCAGCCCCCCAAGTAGCTGGGATTACAGGCATGTGCCACCCCACCTGGCTAATCTTTTGTATTTTTAGTAGAGATGGGGTTTCACTGTGTTAGCCAGGATGGTCTTGATCTCCTGACCTTGTGATCTGCCCACCTCAGCTTCCCAAAGTGCTGGGATTGTAGGCGTGAGCTACCACACCTGGCCAAATCAAAGGGCTTTACAGTGTATGAAATGCCACTTAAACATCTGATGATAGTTTTGCAATGACCATCTATTTCCCATCCCAGGAGACAGGGATGCCTCAGAGAGCCTCTAGTTCCATAGCATCTGAACTTGGTTGTTCATTGCAGCCCCTGGGGAGCTTGTTACATAGAGATTCCTTAGCCCTATCCAAGAGAGTCCAAGTCCAGTATGGCCTGAACATGTGTATTTTTGGAAAGCTTCAGAGGTTAAGAAATCATGTTCTAGTTCATTGTGTGAACTTGCCTTTTTTGTGCTGAAGGAGGGACTGAAACCCAGTGATGGGCACGATGTGCCCAGGGTCAAGTGGTGAGAGGCAGACTTGATAGCAGCAGGTGTAGCTAACCTGGTTCCCAGCACTTTACTCACTAATTTAGTCCTCACAGCAGTCCTAAAAGTTGGCGTGATTATCCTCATTTTGTAGATGGGAGAACTGAAACACAGGGAGATGAATTTGCTTCCTGTGCACAGCTCAGGAGTGGCCGAGCCAGGATTCCAGCCCAGACAGTTTGGCTTCAGGGTCGTCGTAGAGTTCCCCAGGGCCACCCCTTCAACAGTGTGGCACGCAGCCAACTCAGAGCAAGCTCCTCAGCCCCAGGCCGAGGTTTTGAGCACCTGCTTGGCAGTAGGGGTTCTCTGCTACCGTGTGGCCTCTTCTTGTGACTTGTGACCATGGTTAACGGAGGGGACAGGATTGCCCTGGGTAGACCCCAGGAAGCCATGAGGCCAGGGCCCTCTCCTCCCACCCACCAATCTGCACATCCTCCCCAGGTCCTGTATCACCTCTTTGAAGAATTTGCCAACTACGAACACGTGGGCATCGTGGACATCTTCCTCGGCTTCCTGAGCTTCTTCGTGGTGGCCCTGGGCGGGGTGTTTGTGGGCGTGGTCTACGGGGTCATCGCAGCCTTCACCTCCCGATTTACCTCCCACATCCGGGTCATCGAGCCGCTCTTCGTCTTCCTGTACAGCTACATGGCCTACTTGTCAGCCGAGCTCTTCCATCTGTCAGGCATCATGGCGTGAGTCTGTGCACAGCAGGCAGCGGGTTTGGTGGGGTGGGGGCAGAGGCTGCCAGCTTGATCTCCGCAGGCTCGTAGGGTCATGGAGCTCCCAGGGCCCAGCCTTGAGCTCCAGGGATGAGACATGAGCTCCAGGCACCAGACCTGCTTGGTAGCCATTTAAATGGCCAAGGTCATCAGTGGCTTCCTAAAAAAGGAGGGGTACTTCTGCTGGGCACCCCGGGGTCCAGGAATAGAGAGAGGGCATTTCAGGCTATGAGCAGATGAAGCAAAAGTGACCTACATAAGGGCAAGCCCAGGGCACAGGAGGGAAAAACTTTGGAAGCCACTAAGCTTCCAGTTGAGGAAAGCCACAGCCCTGCTACTTCACTTGTCTCAAAGGGAGTCCCCTCAGCAGCCCCAGTAAGGAGGCTGGAGGCTGGAGGCCTTTATGGAAGCAAGGAGTCTCACCAGGCCTGAGTCCTGGCGGTCCTGAGGCCCCACTGGGCCTGGAAATGGGGAGAATGGGATGTGGACAGGCAGTGAGGGGCAAAGGGGTTCCAGTACAGAGGCAAGGCACAACTGGGGTTCAGGGCCCCTGGCTCCCAGGAGCAGAGCCTGGGTGCGAGTGCTGGGCTCGGAGGACTCCAAGCTCCAAGCAGCTGCTTGGAACAAAGCTCCCTGCAGAGACCCCTGTGTGCAATGGCAGATGCCACCCTTGAGGAGAACAAACTTCCAAGATACCATGGGCCTGTGCCGTTGACTCCTATTGGGTGGAGAGGCAATATGTGCCCTCAGGGCAAAGGTGCAGGCTTTGGAGCTGGACACAGTGTGCTTTGTGTCTTGGCTTTGCTGCCCAGAGGCAGCATGACAGTGGGCAGGTAACTTTCTTTCTCTTAGAGTCAGACCCCTTATCTTTTTTTTTTTTTTTTAACATGGTGCCACTGTCACCCAGGCTGGAATGCAGTGGCACAATCTCAGCTCACTGCAGCCTCCACCTTCTGGGTTCAAGAGATTCTCCCATCTCAGCTCCTCAAGTAGCTGAGATTACAGGTGCCCACCACCGTGGCTGGCTAAGTTTTGTGTTTTTAGAAGAGACAGGGTTTTGCCACATTGGCCAGGACTGGTCTCGAACTCCTGGCCTCAAGTAATCCACCCTTCTTGGCCTCTCAAAGTGCTGGGACTACAGGTGTGAGCCACCCAGCCTAGCCAAGATCACTGTTTAAAAATGGAGGGATACACCTTTGTCTGTAGGGTTGATGCCGGGATGAGTGGGAACAGGGTGTAAAGCAGGCAGCAGGCCCCCGGCCCATAAAGGAGCTCGGAACACGGGCACCTTGGTCATGGCCCCATCACCCCCGGCCAGGGAGGGGCTCAGGCAGGTGCAGCTCGACGCAGAGTCCTGAGCCCACACTTTCCTGCCCCAGGCTCATAGCCTCGGGAGTGGTGATGCGCCCCTACGTGGAGGCCAACATCTCCCACAAGTCCCACACCACCATTAAGTACTTCCTGAAGATGTGGAGCAGCGTCAGTGAGACCCTCATCTTCATCTTCCTCGGCGTCTCTACCGTGGCCGGCTCCCACCACTGGAACTGGACCTTCGTCATCAGCACCCTGCTCTTCTGCCTCATCGCCCGCGTGCTGGGTGAGGGCCAGGGCTGGGGCAGGGTAGGGGGGTAGGGTGTGGTGTGGGGGGTGAGTGGGCT